TCCACCCATTTGGTAAAATAATCCGTTGCCACTATAATAAATGAATGACCTTTTGATGAAGGGGGATACACCTTACCAATTAAATCAATAGCCCAGCCTCGAAATGGCCATGGTTTCACAATAGAATTAAGTTCAGAGGCTGGAACTCTTTGAAGTGGCCCATGGATCTGACAAGATTTGCAGCCCTTAGCATAACCAATACAATCTTTTAAGACAGACGGCCAGAAGAAGCCATGTCTGCGAATTAACCAACGCATCTTGATTCCAGCCTGGTGTGCACCACAAATCCCATCATGGACATCAGACAGCATCTGGAAACTTTCATCTAGACCCAGACAACACATCAGTAGTTCATCATTGCCTCTCTTATAAAGTACATCCTCAATCAAGACATAATTGAGAGCTTGCTTTTTGGTTTTCCTAGATACCTTAATGCTTTGATCCTTAAGGTACTGAATAATTGGAAAGTGCCAGTCCGTCTGGGTAACATCAATGCTGCAAGTGGAGACAGTCATGCCACGTTGATGAATTGATGGCAGACTGCGTTTTTCAACTATTACAACTTTCTGCATTACACCTTCAGGAATTCGTAGACCTGAAGCAATCTGGGCCATTTCATTAGCTTCATAGTTCTGGTCTCTGGGCACATGTCTGATGGACACGTCATCAAATTCTTCCAGCAATTGCATAGCCAAGGCAAAATAAGGGGCTAAAGCAAGGCTAGTACATTTGTACTCACCAGACAATTGCTTCAAGACTAGCTGTGAGTCCCCTTATTTTGCCTCAACCATGGATACTTTAAGCTCCACCAACATCTCAAGACCAATAATCAAAGCTTCATATTCTGCTTGATTATTTGTGCAATCAAAATCCAGCTGGAAAGACATCTGTGTTTTCAGCCCAGACGGGGAGATTACCACAACTCCAGCTCCAGACATGGTTTCTGTACTAGATCCGCCAAAATTAAGTTTCCAGGGAACTAAACTTATTGAAAACAAGTTAATCCCCTTTTCTTCATCTGCTTCCACGTCCAGACATGGATGATCTGCAAGGAAGTCTGCCAATGCCTACCCTTTGACAGCCCTCTGTGGTATATACTTCAAATTAAACTTAGACAAGGCCAGAATCCATTTACCTATTCGGCCTCTTAACAAAGGGCGGGATAACATATATTTGACAATATCAGTCTTGGCAACCACATACACCTCAGAATAAATCAAATAATGTCTTAATTTTATTGCAG